TTTCTTTAAAGTATTTTGGAATGGTAATTATCAGATTCAAAACAGGTTTTCTTGCTCAGATTGGCCGAAGTGGGATTTCCCCGGGGTCACCCCGGTTTTTACTACCTTTTAGAGAGGGTAGCGTTTTCCGGTGGAGAACGGCCCAACCTGTCCTGTGACGTCCCCTACTGTGACTGAATGATTGGTAAAGTTGGATAGATGGTTTATCCATGAGGAGCGGTCACATTTAGGAGGCCTCCAGGTGGAGTGAGAGTAGATGAATTTGGCCTTATTAGATTTATAGGCTTAGGTTATCTAGTCTAAGGTAACTTAAAATAATGTGCGCATAGGAAACTAAAACAGCTTTCCTTTAATTAGATGAAACCCAAATTGTAGTTAAATGCTGAAACTGTGGTCTTGAGTGAGAACATTTGGTCTGTGAAGCTTTGATTGTGATTACTTTTGATCCCTAATTAATGATACTTGACTAATTATAGATGCTCTCTGAGTCACCAGGTCCTTCAGAGATGTGTCGCTTCCTGTGTTTTTAAGTTACCTGTAAAAACGGTAACTTATCAGGGGGAGTTGTTAGGTTTTATTATTTATACATCATGTGCACTGTTATTTTGTTAGATTAGACAGAGCAGAAGGCCTTCCTTCACATTGTGGATGTCACGGTGTGTACGGAGGTCATCTAATCAGGACAGCCTTCGTGTCTTTAAGAATACACAGGATATGGGCACATCTTGGAGCCAGACTGATAGGAGAGCTACTGTATCTGTAACCCTGAGACAGAGAGGCAACCTGCATGGAGTTCAACACATGGATGGCCTGTCAGTTTCTGATACGGACAGCTAAGCATCCACATGATGCTACACAGACTCAGAAGGTATAAGAAGTAGAAGTTCGGGGCTCAAACTTTGCCGGACGCTTGCAGATGTGATTTTTGAACCACAGCTGTGCAGCTCTAAGCATTTTTCTCTGTCCTGTAACGACCTGATCTGGAATAAACTCTGTTACTTTTTTACTCCTGTTTTTATATGGTTTTACCCAGTTTGAGTTAAGAGTAGTAAATAACTTGCTCCCAGGAAAAGAACCGATGAGGAGGCCCCCGGGGCGCTACAGCCTTTACTTCCAATGGGACAAATCCTCCTCACTTTAACAACAGCAATCTGTGAACAGCTAGTTTATTAAGTATTTCATCTGCAAAGTCTCTCTTCCTCTGTGGAGGACACCTGTCATACCAGCTATATGAAACTCAATTTAATTAATAATAAAGTTTATTCATCAAAATTACAATAAACAGTTGAACTACCGGTACATCCCTCTCTTTTTCACATGAATGACTAAACTTTATTAACCCCCTGTATGATAAAAATGGATACTTATCCTAGGATGAAACGTACAAGACAATTACTGGCTATCTGGTGTAGGTACTCTGGTTATCACCAAGGCCACATTCTTCCCAGGAAGACCCTTTTCTTCTGGTTTTTACACAAGAGACAAAGTGCATCTCTCCTCCTTCTTTCCCATCATAAATTCTCACTGTTTTGAGGATAGAAAAGGGAGGAATTGAACGGCCTTGACAGTGAAGATCAACCCATATCACAAGTTACCACACTAAAATGACTTTCTGTTTTGCCTTAATAAATACATTTTTAAATATTTATAGATCTTAATTTGTTTTACAACTTTTACACTGATTGTTTTCCAGGTAATCAAAGTGAAAATTAACTAACTGATGTTTGCTTTTAAATAACAAATGTGTTGAAATGTATTTCTTCATTTCTTCAACCTTATAGCTAATGGAAGTATGTGTGCTTAGACTAGAGGTGGAAATTTCATATGGAAGACATGAGATCATTTTTAGGTACAATATTATGTTTCATTAGTGAATTTAGTGGATTTGAAAAGAGGGAAGGAGTCCAGAATACGGAGATCCGGAGGGAGGGAGTTCCAGAGGTGAGGAGCAGAGCGACTAAATGCCCGGTCCCCCATTGTGACAAGACCGGCCGAGGGAACGGAGAGCTGGAAGGTGTGGGAGGATCGTACAGCTTAGCCGTTCAGTAAATGTCAAAAAATTACTGTGAATTATTTAAATTTTTGATATGAATTACAGAAATAAAATCCTATTTATGACTTGGTGACAATTTTTAGACCTATGAAAGACTGATTTAAGTACCAATTATACTGAACAATTCCATTCCCTTTAAGACTTTTTAATGATCCGCAAACTGCTGCTTTGTCGCCTCCACGGTCGTCTCCATGCTGCTGTGGCTTCCACGCTGCATTTTGTTTTGATGACGCACGCGGCTGTAGGCTACGACGCTGGTAGCTGGTGTTGCCAGATTGGGTGTTTTCCCCGCTACATATTAAGGCCTGTTTACGGTGTGATTTAGCCGGGGTTTCGCCTGCAGGACTCTATAGAAATCTGGCAACCTATTGAACGGAGTTGAACTGAGAGAGCGTGCCGTTCACAGACGCCAGAATGAACGAGTTCACAATAACGTTCATCAGGCAGTAATGCAGTACGTTCAGTTCACGTTCGCCCAAAATATGAACGAGTTCATGAACTTTCGTTCAATGAACGCGTTCAGGCACAACACTGGGTGATTGTTACAACGAAATCCCATAAAAAATTTAGGAAATTAATGAAAGAATCCCAAAAAAATTATGAATTGTAATTATTTTTAATGATCCGCGGAAACCCTGGATTATTTCTGCATGTTTTGCTGCTTTGAATCTAATCATCTGGCGCATGCTCTCTACCATCTCCAAGGAACTCAGAGCGGAGCGGACGGGAGCCACAGTGGAGGCTGTAGGCTTTGCTTTGAGCAGCCGGTCTGGAGCGCAGCGGGGCGGAGCGCTGACGGAGTATGAGGGATTTCGGGGTTAGCCTGACATGTTGGTCATGTTGCTGTTAGCATAAACAAAACGTGTTGCACAATGCTTGCACACTGTTGCACTTTTATCCACAGCTTTCTTTCCGCCGTCATCGTAGGTCACTCTAAATGCAAAGTGGTCCCATACAGCAGACCTATAAAGTGCTGCTGGCGCGTCTTCCAACTCCTGTTCTTTCCCACTCGCCATACCCACACAATTCTCCACAACAACTGATTTTATTCTGCTACACCCGGCTACGCTGCTTCGCTTCTTCTTCTTCTTGTTTACTACTGGTGGTTGGCTTTGGTCGCAGTACCGCCACCTTCTGCTCTGGAGTGTAAACGCTTCGCCTATGAGAAAAAGCATGAACAAAACAAAACACACGCGAACCGAACCGAGACAGTCGAACCGAACGGTTCGGACGGTTTTCATAAACCGTTACATCCCTAATATACATACTACTTGGGCTGCAACTAACGATTATTTTGCAAATCGATTAATCTCTGGATTATTTTTTCAATTAATGGATTGATAATCAGATAGCCAAAGATATTTTAAAGAAGATTTTTTACTAAATAAAACCAGGTGAAACTACACCTTTTCCACTTGAGGAGTTTTGGATAGAACATATTGACAGACAAAATGTTTTTTTTTTTTATCCGACATGCAAAATGTTTAGATATGTTTTTATAATTTTGATATAATTACTGCTCTATTTAGGTCCCTCTGTCAGCTAAAGTTATATTTTACAGTCTCTGTACTTCAGTTAACAGTTAAATGATTACTAAATTAGTTGATGATTATTTCAATAATCAATTAATCTTGATTAATCCGATTAATTGTTTCAGCTCTAGACACTAGATATTTCACATTAGAGAGAAAAACCTAATTAAGCTTTCAAGACATTTCAGCCTTGTATAAATAACAGCTATCAGTCATTTTTGCACAAACATATTAAAGACGGAGCTTTTTTGAGGGATATTATTCTAATTAAAATGCTTTGAATGTTTCTATGATTTAAAATAACTTGAGAGAATTAAGACAATATAAGGAAACTGACAAAGGTCACCTTTCAGATCGGTTTATGAACCTATTATTGAACTGAAGACGTTACAGTTCTCCCTCTACACTCCAATCTTATGAAATATTACAGGAGAAACCCAAATTATGTCCTACAGTCACGAAAAAATCCAGTTTAAAAATTTTCCCCCAATGAATACATTTACTAATTTACTGTGTTTGCTGGGAACAGCAGGTGATGAAAGATTTGCATTTGCAATGAAGTGCCCACGAATCTTTTACCTTTTTTTTTTGTAAAATATAGGCTGCTTTCCATTTCTCACATAAGTGGTTAACAATTTGACTGGCCTTTGTATTAAAAAAGCTACAGGAAGGGATCCTTTTTGGGACAGCAGCGATTCACCTGACACAGCCAGAGAGGAGGGGCCGATGTTGAAGGGCGAGCTGGAGGATCGGCCTTCCAGAGAGAACAAACATTCGGCAAGCGGTTCGTTTTTCATCATAGGAGGACTGCGTATTCCCATTTCCTCTTCTTGAGCCTGTTGTCTCCTTAGTGCGACCTTTAGGGAGAGGAAAACTTCATTATAATGGGTCTGGATTAAAACAAATATCCCCTTTATTACATTTACCAACTTACAAAAAATACTAAATGATGTTTTGGGACCGTGATTAAGACTAACTAGTTTTTAATGCTCCCTTCTAATAAGTCAGCAAACAGTACTTTGTAATCGATTGAGATTTATTTTCCCCTAAATCATTTCATACACTGATCCCCTTCAATCTAAAGCTGTAGCACACGTTTTTTTATGTTTATAAACGTGTTATCTTTTACAACAGTTTTACAAACAGAAAAATCCGTAATATCAGTTTTCAACTCCAAATCTGTTTTCTTGTGTCATTCAAAAAAAAGTCCACTTCGGAGAACAGAAACCAACCAACCATGAAAAAATGCGAATAGTTATCTCAGCTCATTTTTTTTTTTTTTTGGGGGGTTATCTTATTAATACTATTTGTTTAAAACAACAGAATTTACAGATTAAAACTGTCAGAAACATTTGTCCTCAATTGTTTTTCTTGGTTACATAAAAATGTTTCGAAATGTAAAAATAAAATCAGCATTATTGTAAAAAAAAAAAAAAACTAATGCAGAACTAAATTCATTAATATATCACAATAAAATAACGTCATATCTACCCTTTTTTACCAAGTAGTAAATAGAGTCATATGTGTTCCCAGTGGATACTACAGCTGTCGATTTCAGTAGCTGATCAAATTCTAGGAGTTTGTCTTATGAAAAAGAAAAATATATATCATAATCCAATGTTTTTTGCTTTTTTTTTTTTTGTTCTCTAAGTCGCTGATGGTTTATCTGTTTTATATAATTGTATTTCTTGGTTTTAAAATTGATAAAAAATGAACAGAGCTGGATTATAATCCTTCATGAAAGTTTTTTTGTGTTATTTTCATATAATAATATCTGAGGAAAAGAGTTTAATTCATGAATAAATAAACTTTAACAAGATAAATAATTAGCAACATATCTGTAAGTAAAGTTTTCAGTCAATTATTCAATAATTTGCACTTTCCCCTGACAAAATACCTTATGTGCTAATTAAACTGTTTGATTAAAAACAACATTTATTGTGACTTTAGAAGTTATGTTTTAGATTATTTTAACTACAAGAAACTGAATTGAATCACTTTAAACGTTTGGTTCTGTCAAAATATCTGATATTTCATTTTTATTTTGAAAATATCAATGCAGAATAGCGAAAGTAACAATTTAAACATAGCCACGAATTACAGAAAAGACTAGATAAGCATGTTACAAAGTTTCCAGATAAGTTCTTCAGAATAAACAAAATAAATGTTTTATTTTATTTTTGTTTAAAAAAAAAAAAATGATACAAGTTAGAATAACTTATTTCTTTTAGGAGATGATATCATTCATTAATTTTTTTCTCTGTAGAGTTTCCATGCCTGCAGGGCGGAAGTTAGTTGTTTTAACAGCTTACCTGTGCCGCCATGACACGCTGCCTCTCGGCAATCAGTTTGCATTTAGGACACTGGCAGTCCTTCCAGTCGCAGAAGTGTTTGTGTCCTTTTAAAGCCTTGAACAAACCGTGATTTCTGCAGCGAGAACATTTCGGCTTCCTGGGAGATTGGCCTCTAGGCGGAGATGTGGGGTTTGATCCCTCCTTGGTCTTCCCCATGGCTGCATGGCAGAAGATGGAGTCACATTTATACTCTGAGGCCAGCCCCTCCCAGACACAACATCCTTATCAGGAGAGAAGCTGTGAGGCATCCCTCCCTGAACTCAGCGAGAAATTGAAAAGGTTTTGTTTCAAAACACAACTAAAACATTTAATTTTTTCAGACATATCTCGCTGTCACATTCATTAAAGGAATAGTACACCCAAAACATGATTAGCCGTCATTTTCTACTCACCCCCAGGGGCGTCTCTAGGTTTAAGAAACAAGGGTGGCTCAGCCCCTTGCGCGCCGAATTTTTTCAGTGCACCTGCTAAGGCGTTGTCTAAGACAAGGGTGTAACTTTGTGTTGAAAGTTGGTGGGGACGGCTCATAAGGAAAGGGAGCTACCTGCGCGACGCCTTTTTTTGTTTTGTTTGAAAGGATAAAGCCAAAAAAATGCGAATAACATTTATCAATTTAATGCTTACAGTTGAAAACATAACTGTTACAATATTCACTTATATATTTTGTGCAAAAAATATCACATAAATCTAAACAGACAGTACAAATCAAAGAAATCAAATAAATATATCAATTTTGTAGAACATTTATTGACAGTCAATTTTGGGTCACTTTTTAAAATTAATTTACTTTTAAACCAGGACTCGGACAAGATCTTATGGGGCCTTAAGCAGAATATGATTAAGCAACTCCGTCTTTCTGTCAAGAACATCCACCAGCAGGGTATCCAGGGGGGATTTACCATTAGGCAATACTAGGCAGTTGCCTAGGGCCCCAAGTTCCTGGGGGCCCCATAAAACCCTGTTTCCATGTATGGTTAATACAACTAATCCTTATTTGTGCACATTAATTATGTTTTTGATAAAAATCCTTTGTCTAAAATGCCATCAGAACGCTGATAAATAGAGAGGAAAAAGGGACAAGAAGAGAGGGACAAAACCTAGAACAAATAATGGATGTCTATTCTATTAACATTTCTCTATCTGTAGAATGGGTCTGTTTTATGGGTTTACTTCTCAGGGGGCCCCCTGCCTGTCTTTGCCTAGGGCCCCAAATTTCCTAAATCCGCCCCTGAGGGTATCACTACTGATTTGATAGAATCTGGGAGAGCGGACTATGTTCAACCATCCATTTTCTTTAACCTTATCCCTCAGTGGGATCAGGAGGTGCTGGTGCATACCACGTTCTGGGTGAGAGGTGGGATCACCCTGGACAGGTCACCAGTCTGTCGCAGTATGTTCAACCAGCTTAAAAGTAATCGCTAATCAGATTTATTATTTGCACTTTTACTAAGTGAACTTTCTAACTCCCTTAAATCTGAAACTCCAATGCCAAAATTGTTTAAATCTTTTATCTTTGGACCCCCTGCAGAGTGACGTCACACCTGCAAGATCCTATCCTTACCTTCCTGCTAGATTGCAAAAAGCAGCTTGCTCATGAGCTGTCAACATAACACGCTAAATCTTAAATGTACATATAAAAGAAAAAGGGGCGCAGTGCTTGCTACTGAATGGCAACACTATCAAAGTCAGGAAGAAGTTTTAAGTAAAGCCGGGATTAAAACAGTAGCTACAAGAAGCTTCAAATAAAAGGTGTTCTTTATGTTCAACCTAAACACCAACTCCGACAGACCATCAGTAGAGCAGGTGTTTAAATTAATCAATCACTGCTGCGAAAGCTTATAGCAGTGAAAGCTAATATACCACAGTCATCACTTAATAAACGCAAAATAAACAACCCTCTAAAAACGGAAAACTGTAATGGACTGAAAGTCCTGTTTTTTATGTGGGAAATTATTTGCGTGTGTTTTAGTATAATTCTGATATATTGGCGCTGTTGTCTGTTTCTATGGCAACGATACTGAATGTAGTGTAGCTTAGAGACCTGCATGGGTCGAGTTTTACCAACCCGCACCCGCCCGAACCCGTTAGGATGACTACCGAACCCGACCCGCCACCCGCGGATATCAAATGTTATGGGGAGAGGTTGGAGGGGGGTGATGGGGAGAAAGCGAGAGGCAACAGATTCTTTTTTCTGAGTTTTTTTTTGTCGGGGTTTGTGGACGGTGAGCAGCGGGAAAACTTTTTTCTGTCTGAGGAGCGGCATGAATGGGGTTTTTTAATCAGATATACACAGCACCGAAAGAAAAATACGTGTACAAAATATTGGTGGGGACATGTCCACACCAGTCCTTAAGGAAGTTACGCCTATGATTGTTCAGATTAACTTGTCTTCTTTATGGCTTTTATTCGGTGCTTTACTGCATTTGTTTCGGGAAAATATGAGGAAAAAATAAATACAGAAAAAAATATTTTTTTTTTTTTAAATCGCAAAATAATTATAGGGTGGCTAATGCCAAAGAAAGGGTGACTGAAGCCACCCTTAAATAGGTCTAACGACGCTTATGCTTCTTGCTGTCTGCTGACATTCAAATAATGGAGGTCTATGGCGCCCGAGGCAGAAAGGTCCATAAAAGTCCACAAAAAACGTGTCAATATTCCTCCATACTGCTCGTCCAATGTATTCCAAGTGTCCTGAGTGGGTAGCGTCCAGAATTTACTCGAAACGAAGTCATTTAGAATGTTTTTAGAGCATAAACAGTAGTGTATAGGATTAACCGATTAAATATTAAAATCAAATTCTGCGTTGCTGTCCGTTTTTCCATTTCGTGTTCTTGATCTGAGCTTAGAATTGATATATGAAAAACCAATCCTTTTTTCGTTTTTGGTTTAACTATAAAAAACAAAATAACCACTCAATTTTTTATTTTTTGATTGGCAATTGAAAATAGAAAGAACGAGTGATACACGGATTAAAAATAAAGGGATAAATGAAAATGACAAATTTCCCTTTTAATTCAAAGCTCCTTTTTTTTATTAAATCAAAGCTCATAAGTCTATAACCATGCTTCTATTATTTCTTTATATTAATCGTCCATTGCAGGTCGCATGTTTAAACCTTTATCACCCTTCAAATATTTTGTTTTTCCTGCAAAAGGGCAAAATTTATAAAAACATAGTAAAACAAAGTATATTAGCCTACCTGTTATATTCCCTGAAAATCTCTGAGTTGGATAAGGCACCTGCGTGGTTTCGAAGGCCACGGACCCAAAGTGAGACGCAAAGAGAGGGCTCACATTATTATCTTATGTGGGCAGGGGTTTCCGTGGGACCTTATCAACTTTGGATAGAATTCAAAGCCCTTATGAGCATGCGAATGAGAACAAGAATTATTCTGGTTACCAGAATAATTCTGTAAAAAATACAGTACAGATGTAAACAACTTTACAGAACAACTTGTGCATTTTACTGGTATTTAATGTAAAATAAATGATAACTGGATGTTAATTTTTACCAGTATTCAATGTAAAATAAACGATAACTGGATGTTAATTTTACTAGTATTCAATGTAAAATAAACGATAACTGGATGTTAATTTTACTAGTATTCAATGTAAAATAAGCAAAATCTGCATGTAAATTTTGCATAAATAATCAGTATAAAAGCAGCATTGTCCTGTTAAATGAGCAGTACAGGACTGTATAATCTAAAACTTTAAAATGTATTTTTTGTTAATTAAAATACAATTTTAGGATGTAAAATTTACAAGTTGTTACTAAATAAACAGAATTTGCTATAAAATATTCATTACAATTTAAAGGCACAAATTCCTGTTATCTGTTGTATATCTGTTTCTGTCGCTCTGTTTTTAAACATTACAGTTATCTTGACCACCTCTTAGATGACGTTTACCAGAAATGGAAAAATGTAACCCTGGGTGCACAGCTTAAGGCATTTATAAATCAAAACCTTATGTATACCTCAAGAACTGCACTGACAGCTAAACAAAAAAACAGACAAATAACTTGCCTCTTCAGGAATTTATTAAACATTTTTTTAACGTACAAACATATGTACTTTACATACTTTAGAATAGAAAAAAACACCGTCTTTCCTCTGAAGGGAAGTTGAAAAATTGAGGCCCCCAGGCAATGCTACAGCTGCTGGGGGAGTAAAAACAACTTAACAGTGTTCAATTCCTCTAATAACTTATTCTGAGAAATCAAGAAAAATCATCTTAATCAAACGGTCCCAGGATTTTTACAATTATTTCACTCCTTTTCTTGTGAAAATATAACGTGTTATCTAAGTGGGCATAAGGCTTACATTAACTTAGCCAACATAAATATTCTTCTGCAGATGTGGTAACATCAGTTGAACGTGTACAGCTGTTGCTATGGAAAGATGAACCACCCGGAAATGCTCTGATTTGCAGATTCTGCTCATTCAATTTCAATGGTCTGTACGTGTCGATGTGTCTGTGTTTTGAGGGAGAGTGTTGTAGTCTGATATTGGTAGAAAAAGCTTCAAGGTTTATGCTCTAAGCACCTCTCATCTGAAAAACTAATGATGATTTCTAGGACTTTATGATAAATGCAACATGAATAATGAAAAACAAAGAATGCTTTTTCTACCTTCCTGCATCTATGTGTGTTGGTACTGTGTTTGCATAGCTACATCACTTTCCCAAAAACATTAAACTACCAACAAAAATATTTCACAGAACTTGACTTACATTATGTTCCTGTACACAGTGTTTAAAATGGACTGTTCAATATGAAACACAAAACTAAGGCATAACAGGGCCAATATGGATGTATGTGACCCGTGGGTTTTACATCACAGAAACAACAATTAAACCTCGACAAAAAATGCATACGAGCTACCAATTTGCTTGCTCCTTATGCCTGAAAAACTCGGCAGATAATGAGCTGAAACAAATGTTGAGTTTGCATCAGTCTTACTGGTTGTAGTCCATATTTATACATCAATCCACTCGTAATCTGAAAGCTCTTGAATCAAGGTAAGGACTCGGGGGTTCAAATGAAGACGGGATCTTTTTGTCTTCTCTACTTTAGTGCCCTTCTCCGGGTTGATGGAGAAAAAACACCTGTGGAAAGACAAAAAAGACAACTGTATTAATAAAATATTTTCACAT